TTAAAAATCTGAAAAAAAATACAAATCCAAGGGAAGGAGGAGGGTTAGCTGAAACAAGACTGCTCATGAACTGATATTCACTGAACCGGAGGGATGGTTAACATGGGAGTACATTATACTATTCTGTCTACTTCTGTATGTTTGAAATTTTCTCTAAAAAAAAAAAAAATTAAAATTAAAGTCAAAACCATCATGGTAGCTAGCAGCATTCAGCTGAAAGACAAACCAACCCAATCTAACCCATTCTTACTAACATTCAACTGATTTCCACTAACCTTCCCATGAATGCCTGTTCCTATACACACTCAGAGGCACTCAAGCTAATCCATTAAAAAAAGAACCCTTGTCTTTTTATAAGACAAATTAAAAGAAATGAACTCCCAGGATACCTTAAACCTCAGGGGTTCATAAAACACAGATTAGAAAATCCTGCTTTAGAGAAATTCCTGGATCATTAATGCTTTAAAGATTCCTATCATATATCATATATATATGATTCATATACCATATATATATTACTTGCTTAGTGTTTATTTGTTCCTCTATGTCAGTTCTATTTGTCAATTTTTTATACTAAAAACAACCAAAAGCAATGGTATTTTATTCATTTAAAATTTTATTCGAGAGAGAGAGAGAGAGCACAAGTTGGGGGGGGCACAGGGAGGGAAGGGGGGCAGACAGAGAGAGAGTAGCAGATTCCCCACTAAGCCCAACTTGGGGCTTGATCCTGTGAACTGAAGTGGCTTAAATGCTGAGCCACCCAGGCTTCCCAGGCAGTAGCATTTTAAAATCTAGAATCTAAACTCTAAATCTATACAGAATAACATTTTTAAACTTAGGTACAAAGCATCACCAGAATACAACTTAAGTATCCAATGGTGAAGCATGTAGTGAAAAATATTTTTACATGAGGCTGTCTTCACAGCAGCTAATAATAAAACACTTAAAAATATGTTATATGTACATTAACAGATGTAAGGGGGGAAAGCATATGGTTCTCTTCATAGGTGCTGGAGAAGTCTTTTGACAAAGTCAACATCCATTCATGATAAAAACACTAAAAGATTTAAAAGAGACTTTTTTTTTTAAACATTTTATTTATTTATTTGTCAGAGAGAAAGAGCACAAGCCGGGGGTGGGGGGGTTGGCAGGCAGAGGGAGAAGCAGGCTCCCTGCTGAGTAGAGAGACTGATGTGAGACTCCATCCCAGGACCCTAGGATCATGACCTGAGCCGAAGGCTGGCACTTAACAGACGGAGCCACCCAGACGTCCCCAAAGCGACTTTCTTAATATGATAAATTATGCCTAAAGTTAGTACCCAATTTAACAAGAAAATAGAGGCATTTCTACTAAAATCAAGAACGAAGAAAGGATATCCACAATCTCCACCAATATTTAACACTATAAGGAATAAAAGCCTGTGCAATTAGGTAAGAAAATTCATTTTGAGGTGAATAGGTAAAGAAGCAGAAAAACTCTATTTGCATTTGACAAGAACCTCTAGTGAACTGATGATACAATGAACTCTAAAAATTCTTCTGGTAAGGGGTGCCTGGGTGGCTCATTGGGTTAAGCCTCTGCCTTTGGCTCAGGTCATGATCTCAGGGTCCTGGGATAGAGCCCTGTGATCAAGCCCTGTGTCGGGATCTCTGCTCAGCGGGGAGCCTGCATCTCCCCCGTCTCTGCCTACTTGTGATCTCTCTCTCTGTCAAATAAATAAATAAAATCTTTTAAAAATTTTAAAAAATTCTTTCGGTAAAAATAGCAGGAAATAAAAGTAACATTCAAAAGTCAAATCTTGGTGCATCTGGGTGGCTTAAGTGGTTGAGCATCTGCCTTTGGCTCAGGTCATGATCCCAGGGTCCTGGGATCAAGCCCATATCAGGCTCCCTGCTCAGCAAGGGAGTCTGCTTCTCCCTCTCTGCTATCCCTCCCCCTGCTCATGTTCTCTCTCGCTCTTGCTCTTTCTCAAATAACATCTTAAAAATAAAAGTCAAATATGCATATATATAACTGATAACCAATGAGCAAGCAAATGGTAGAGAAAATCTTATTTATAATAGTAACAAAGAAAACAATATATAGGAATAAACTATAAAAATAATCCATAGAAAAAACGCAAACATATCTGAAAGTCACATAAGTAGATTTAAATAAAGAAACATCCCTGTTCTTGGATGGAAGACTCAACATCACAAAAAAGTCAATTTTCCCTAAGTTAATTTGGAAATTGAATGTAAAATGAATAAAATACCAACAAGCCTTTAAAAAAGTTTTTATTTTGGGGGCGCCTGGGTGGCTCAGTGGGTTAAGCCGCTGCCTTCGGCTCAGGTCATGATCTCAGGGTCCTGGGATCGAGTCCCGCATCGGGCTCTCTGCTCGGCAGGGAGCCTGCTTCCCTCTCTCTCTCTCTCTGCCTCTCTCTCTGCCTGCCTCTCTGTCTACTTGTGATCTCTCTCTGTCAAATAAATAAATAAAAAAGTTTTTATTTTAATTCCAGTTAGTCAACATACAATATTATACTTGTTTCGGGGATACAATATAGTAATTCAACACTTCCACACATCACCCTGTGCTCACAGGGACAAGCGTCCTCCCTAATCCCCATCATCTCTTTCACCCATATCCCTCTGGTAACCATCAGATTGTTCTCTATAATTAAGAATCTGTTTCTTGCTCTGAAAAATCGAAAAGCTTTAAAAAAAATTTATTTACTTACTTCAGAGAGAGTGTGCAAACATGAGAGTGGGGGGAGGGTGAGAGGGTAAGGGAGAAGGAGAGACTCTCAAGCCGACTCCCTGCTGAGCTCAGGGACACACCCAGGGCTCAATCCCACAACCCTGAGGTCAAGACCTAAACCAGACTCCATCCAGGATGCTGAGATCCTGACCTGAGCCAAACCAAGAGTCTGGAAGCTCAACAAGCTGAACCAACCAGGTGTCCCTAAGTATAAGCTTTTTAATAAACAGTGCTGGCACAGCTGGGAAATTTTATTTAGAAAAACTTACTTATTTAGAAAAAAATAAAATTATATCTCTATTTTTTACCATATACACAAATTATTTCCAAATGGATTAGGGATCTAAATGTAAAACAAACAAACGAACAAACAAAAAACAGAACCATACAAGGTCTAAAAGAAAATACAGGTAAAAATCCTCTAAAGAGGATTTCTCTACCTTGGAGCAGAGAAAAACTTGCTAATCATGTCTTAAAACCCAGAGCCAATAAAAGACTGATAAATAGGACTACTGCATGGCAAAAAAAATCACCATAGACAAAACAAAAAAGAAAACCAACAAACGTGGAGAGACTATTTATATGTCACAAAAGCCTAATAGCCCTACTCTTTAAAAAAGACACAGTCAGAAAAAGCTATAAACAGATCATTTTCCCCCAAAAAAAGAAGAAAAAGAAGAAAGAAAATGGCTTTCAATAAATGAAATGTTGTTCAAACTCATTTGTAATTAGAGAAATGCAGATTTAAAAAGATACAATTTTTCACCAATTGGATTGGCAAAGACTAAAAAATATGAAACTACAGTCTGATAACAAAAATGTGGGGAACAATGCATATTCATACCCTGTTGGTGGGAATGCAAATTGGTCCAACCATTCTGAAGGGAAATCTGGTGATCGTAACAAAACATCTGCACTTACCTTTTGACCAAGTAATCCCACTTCTAGTAATCTAACCTGAATATACCTCCAACAATATGAAAATACATATACACAAAGTTCTACTTTGTTTGTAACTCTCTGTAATTGCAAAATATTATAAACAACCTAAAATGCCCATGCACAAGAGAATGAATAAAACAGGGACCATCCCCGTGATGGAGTGCTATGCAGCTATTCAAAAGAATAAGGGGGACGCCTGGGTGGCTCAGTTGGTTAAGCGGCTGCCTTCGGCTCAGGTCATGATCCCAGCGTCCTGGGATCGAGTGCCGCATCGGGCTCCTTGCTCAGCAGGGAGCCTGCTTCTCCCTCTGCCTCTGCTGCCACTCTGCAGGCCTGTGCGCGCGCTCGCTCTCTCTCTCTCTCTCTCTCTCTCTCTCTGACAAATAAATAAATAAATAAAATCTTAAAAAAAAAAAAAGAAAGAAAGAAAGAAAGAATAAGGAAGAGCCCCGTGAGCTGACACAGAACGAATTCCAGTATATATTATTAAGTGGGAAAAAAGCAGAGCATTTATCATAAGCTACCCTTTGTGTTAAGGAAATACACATAAGAAAATATACATTCATCTGCCCATTTGTGGGAAAAGAAACAAAAATTCCACATGAGATAAACCAGAAAATAAAGAGAGGTGGGTGGAAAAGGGATGGAAAGACACAGGACAGATGGAGAGGGCGTGACACTTCTGACTATACCTTTTCATATACCTCTAACTTCTTAGAACCCTGGTATTATTTTACATACTCAAAATATAAACCAGTAATTAAAACCACCCAGGATGTGGGAGGAATCAAAAATGCAACACAAACAGTAACAAACCCAACTATATTACAAATAAATGACATGACATGATAAACTGGGGGAGAAAAGAACAGAACCTAAGTTAAGTGTGGAAAACAGGGGCTGACAAAATGTTATAGGTACCTGGAAATTATAGGCTAGATATTATAGACAGACAGTAGCTATTATAAGGCTAAAGATATTATAGATATAAAGCTAAGAACAAAAAAACGACAAATACTGTAATTTAGTCAGTAAATTTATTACAAGGGTATGGGTTAGCAATTCTAGAACCACTTTACATATAAACAAAGATGGGAAAAAACATAACTATACTGTGGATAATGGGAGCTGGATTTCTCAGTGCTGGACAAAAAAGTCACAGGGAAAGGGGGAAAGCTAAAATGAACCCAGTGATATCGGATTAGAATCAAAGTTATCATTATAAAAACTCAGAGGTTTTAAAACCTACAGGTAGACAGCACAAATAGAGATGTGTGTGCCTATCAGTTTCCTGGCTCTGTCCCCTGTGAAGGCCTACAGCAATGAACCCCCTCCTGCCAGCCCTCGGTTTCTAAAAACCATTCTTCAATATAAACACCTGCGAAAATCATCCAGGTTACCAGTAAATCACACTATAATTAATGGGAAAAATTAGTGTTAGTATTAGTGGAAAAGCAAGCAAAAGAGCACTATGTTAATAAAATGTCACTTCCAAAAAGAATCAGAAACTTGGTAGCAGCTGCAGGATCAACACTGTCCAACTGTTCCAAAGCTGTACACTTTATGGTGGAGTCTGAAGCCCCAAACCAACCCAAGTTTCACCCAACAATCAAATTCCTCTACACCTGTTCCATTTTTCTTGAGCCCCCACTTCAGATCATCAAATATAAAGGCATTTCTTCCCCTTGGATATTCAGTAAATTCAATTTCACACCTAAGAATACAGGATATGAGAGCATACCACACAGAAATCTGCCCCAAACTTAGAGTTTAAGGAAAAAAAAAAAAAAAAAAAAAAAAAAAACTTGATGAGAGAACTGTCACTGCCTCCACGCAGCCCAAGATGAGACTCCCACATCAAAACAGATTTTATTCAAATAGCAAGATCGAGTATATATATTCACTTTTATAAGTGACACACAGGAAAAGAATGCTCATATGTTTTCTTATGATAAACTGTCAGTAAAAAAGAAACTGAGAAGTTCTCTGTTCTCTTACCAGAAGATATATGTTCACCTAGTAAGTTTATGTCATAACACTAAAAGCAATTTCATCATTACAGGGAAATGTATACAGAACCATTTTTATCCCTAATTTAAAAAATAAAAATACACTCCAGTAAGAAACCATTATAACAAAGATGAAAACAGAGTTAAATTATGGAACTTCTCAAATATTTTATAAACTGTTCCCAAAGCAGTTATGATCATTTTTAACATATTCACACTAAAGACAATTTAATAAAGAACAAAAACAAAGGTACAATGGTTCTAGATGTATCTCTTCAGAACCCTGTGGCATCTCTTCCACCTATGCCCCCTCACACTCCAGGATAAAGACAGACAAGGAGGAAAGAAACCCAGTACCATCTACTTACTGGTCAAGAGAGTGAGCTCAGGAGTCAAACCCACTTGATTTCAGATCAGCTAGCTCTATGACCTTCTAGCTTTGTGACCCTGGACAAGCTACTGACCTCTCTAACCCTCAGATCCCATCTGTAAAATAAGAATAATAATAGCACTTATCCAACAAGGTTAAGAAACAAAAGTTGAGAAACAGATGAGCTAGATGAGTTAATTAATACACCTAACACAATCAGAACAGCGTCACACGTGGTAGAAAACATTCAGTAAGCGCGTGAATTCCAGGACTCAGACGGTATACCTGAGAAATTGCTACCCAAAAGCACTACTCTGGATAAAATTCTTCTACTCTCATAAACGAAGCTCTTCACTCATTCAAGCTTCAGGAATTAAAGTTAATATGACATTTGAAAATTACCAAAACTGACTCCAAATTTTAAAATCCTCTCTCACCTGGATGACTGCAATAGCCTTCTTCCTGGTCAGCCTGTCATCTTTGCCTCCCTCCAGTCTAATCTCCAAGTAGCAGCTAGAGTGAACCTTGTAAAAGGTTAAGTCAAATTCTTTACTCCTCTACTCAAAATACACCATTTTCCCTGAGTAAAATCCAAAATATCTTGTGTTCAAATGTGTCCTTGTCAAGGCCTTCCATAATCTCGCCATATGAAAGTGGCCTTATACTATCCCCAGGCCTTTCTTTCCTCCTAACTCAATTTCCTTTTCTTGTGTCATCTACATTTATCTATCTTCCCCCACTAGAATATAAGTTACAAGAGAGCAAGGACTGTTTTGTTCGGGGCTATATTCCTAGCACCAAGAACAGCGCCACGCACGCTGCAAACTCTGGGTGGAAGCCAAGATCCTACCTAACAATAAACACAAGAGGCAATCCCATTAAAAACAGGACAAGAAACAAAATCACAAAATATCACATGTCAGCTACCAAACCGGTAAATTTTTTTTTTAATTATTTATTTGACAGAGAGAGAGAGATCACAAGTAGGCAGAGAAGCAGGCAGAGAGAGGGGGAAAGCAGGCTCCCCGCCGAGCAGAGAGCCCGATGTAGGGCTCGATCCTAGGACCCTGAGATCATGACCCCAGCCGAAGGCAGAGGCTTAACCCACTGAGCCACCAAGGTGCCCCCAAACTGGTAAATTATTAATTTTTTAAACTCTGAAGTACACTTCAGCCATTACAATAGTTTTTTAAAAATCCCCAATGCACATCCACCTCAGTGAGTTTTTGTATCTGCGTACATTATGTAACCACCACCCAAGATCAAGATATAGAACATTTCCTGAACTTCAGAAGCTCCCTTGACTGGGCCTCCTCTTGGCAAATACCCCGCAGAGGTAAGGACCAGTCTAACTTCTCTCACCCAATTAGATCTGTACTTGAACTTCGTATAAGCAGACTCAAACGGTATTCACTGTTGTGCCTGGCTTCTTTTCTCAAACCTTGTATCTGTGATACCTGCCCATGCTGCTGCATGTATCGGTCACACATTTTCTTAAAGAATATTAACTGATCCACAATTTATCCAGTCTACTGCTGATGACATTTAGGTGGCTCTAGTTTGGGGAGGATATGAACAGCACTGCTATGAACAGTTTGGGGTATGTCTTTTGGTGGAAATATTCATTATCTGCAGACTGGCAAAGTGTTTGATTGGTTTTTGGGGGGAGAGTTTAATAATACCTTAGACTGGGGATGATGCAGAGAACTAGAAGCGGGCACTACTGGTGAGAGTATAAAGTAGGATAACCTTTCCGGAGGACAATCTGGCAACAGGCACCAGAAGGCTGGAAATATCTGAGCCCTGAGACCAATAATTCTACTTCAAGGAAATTTCTTCTTGAGTACCTACAAGTGCCAGATCTTCTAAATGTTTTACATGTATTAATTCATGTGATTTATTCTAAGGAAATATTAGAAATGTTCACAATGGTTTAGAAGTAGGTTAACAGTAAAATGCAGGAAATGCATAAAATGTATGCATTTACCTTAAGTGTTAAAGTAGTGGTAAGTCCTAGAAGACATGGGTACTTTCATATTAATACTTTTCTGTACTTTCCATTTTTTTCTATATTAATTTTGTCAATCAAAGAGAATATATGACTAAAAACACTAGCAAACAAAGGTTTTTACATTCAAATGTGGAGACAAAAGGCATTATAACACAATTTAATTAGGGCAGTGATACAGTTTTGTAGAGGATGATAATAAGAGTACTAAGGAAATCGGGGTGCCCATGTGGCTCAGTCGTTAAGCGTTTGCCTTCGGCTCAGGTCATGATGCCAGGATCCTGGAATCAAGCCCCGCACTGGGCTCCCTGGTTGGCAGAAGCCTGCTTCTCCCTCTCCCCCTCCCCCTGCTTGTGTTCCCTCTCTGGCTGTGTCTCTCTCTGTCAAAAAAATAAATAAAATCTTCAAAAAAAGAGTACAAAGGAAAGACCTCAAGCCTACAGATTAGGGGGTGGGATATTATCAGGAAAGATCTCCATTGTCTTACTTCCACCTAGGGCCCAGAGAGGAAGAACTCCCTGTCTAGGTTGGAAGGAACCTTCCCAGGAAAATCCTGTTAATTCCTCGGCTCACTGTCCTTAACATATCAATTACACACTGTACCTTGGCAAGTGTTCTTCTCCCCTCCCACTTAGAAAGGAGCCTTAGGGAGACTGACGGATAGGAATTCCTGAACACCAAAAATTCAATAGCCAATAGCCTCAAACCTGGAGGCAGCGGGTCCCCTTCACTCTGCTGCCTGGCTGAAAAGCATCAAGGAAGAGCCCCTCCTTCCCTGTCAGGTTAAATGAAGGCAAAAACTTTTCAGACTTCCAGATGGCAAAAACTCCAGAGATAGAGTAAACTCAAATTTATACCAATATTCACTGACTCGAGTTTAAAAAAATTCTTGTACTTGAAGTAATAAAACCATCAAGAAATTATGCCGTAACGGTAATTCTCTCTCGCAGAGCTCCTATTCCCCCCTCCCTCCTCTGCAGAAGGACCACCCCTGGAAACCCCAACGGAAAGCCAGCGTGGAGATTAAAACTATACCTTGATGGTACCGTAAGCATTACTTTCTCTAAAGCTATCCAAATTACTCATACTTCATTAAGAAATTTGATAAGAAGATACTGCTTTTGCATGACAGGGCATTATTACTAAATTTTCTAACTTTTGACATCTGAACAACATTAAATTCTCAAGAACTGCTGGTCAAAAAAACACGTACCTCGGGCCCTTGCACTGATATGAAGTCACACAAATCTACGTGATAAAGTACAGCAGACTTGCTTTGGCCTCACTCTCCCTCCTTCATATATGCCCTTTTTATTTTCCCTTCAAACTTCTTCTGTTTTCTAATTTATACTTCAATGTATTACCAAACTTTCCATAAACTACCTGCAGTTTTTCACGGTCACAGTGTTAAATTACCTAAATTAAGGTAAATAAAATCTAGTCTAAAATTTATTAACATATCTACATTGCACCACAGAGCAAGCCTCTTATGCAGCTAAAACTGTTCTTTGAAAAAAAGAGTATTTACATAATCACCAGAGATTCTGGTTTTATTCTATATGTAACCTAGATTTTTGGATAATCTACTCCGGTTTCGTAGGATATATTATGGGAACAGAGGATATAGAAATAGAACTGGCAAGATTTGGTACGTTCAAATTTCAGTTTTACATGTAATCAAAATACAGGGGGGAAAATCTATTTGGAGTAATAAAAAAGAACTTCAGATAATTTATTCTTAATTACGTGTAGCAAAGTTCTAATAATATTCCCCAAGCATAGACCAGACTGTGAAAAATTACCTGATACACAAAATTAAGACGCCATCTCTCTTTCACAGTGGCAATTTTTGGGTGTTTTTTTTTTTTTCCGCTGCTGTTGCTGTCAGAATTGTGCAAGCTGATTAAATAAAACTACTTGAAGATTAAGTAAAACTAAATGTACCGAGCACTGAACACTGAAAAGAACGCTGTAACCTAAGTGGTTTTCTCTCCCAGGGCCAGTAGAGGGAGACTAAGACATCTGGCCTGGTCTTGTAGTGTTTCTGTAAAATTGGGGAGGGGGGAGCGGAGGCTGTATTTAAATGTCCTGCTGTCAATCAAAGGACACTTCCTACAATCACAGTCACCATATCTGCTATTAGCCGTGAGCGTACTCTCGCCGATATAACACCAAACGGTGCTCGCGTAACCTGCTTCACCTAAAGGTGACCGCAAGCTTTGCCACAACACCCAAATAAGGACTTTGGGAGCCCAACCCCAACTAGTTTCTTTGTTTAAATGCCTGCGAATCCCTCCCACGCCGGAGTCAAGAGGCTGTGGCGCCGCCCTTTATTAGCCTCACACTTTGATTACAAAACACACGAGTCGACGGCTCGGCGGCGGAGGCGGCCCGAGCTCTCACAAACGTCAAATCCGAAACGCAGGCGCCTGCGGAGGCACAGGGCGACGCTCGCCGCCCCCGCCACCCGCCCCAAAGTGCCCACCGGCCGGCGAAAGTTCGCCCGCACCGGGGCCCCCGGCTGCGAACCCCCGGCCGTGCGATGTCGCCGGCCCCTCGGGCGACTGGAAATTTCACTCTTTGTAAAGTTTGAGCTGCGACGCGGGGGCGACGCGGGGGCGACGCGGGGGGTTGGGGACCGGAGGCTGTCCCCCGGGGCCCCGCTGTCCACGCCACCCGCTCCACCCCCCGCCAGGACAGGGTGTGCTGGGGTGGTAGGTGGGAGGCACGGTCCGAGCCGACCTGCCGGCCTGCCCGGGACCCCCGGCCCCAAACTTCCGACTGGCATCTTTTAAGTCCCCGAGAGTGCCTCATCTGTTGCTCTGTTTACTCCTCGGAGCCCCGCCGGGCTGGCGCTGCCCACGCCCCCGTCCCAGTGCCCCGCGGCCGAGGAAGTTTGATAAAGACCGGGGAAGGGGGCGCGACGGGGACCGCGGGGGGGGAGGGGTGATGGCAATTTCTGGAGACCCGGAGCCGGGGCGAGCCTGTCGCCGCCCGGAAGGAAGGCGCTGCGGCCAGCCGCATAGGGCGGCCGGCCGGGCGGCGACTCCGGGCCGGAGCCCCGGGCGGGCGGGGCGGCGGCCAGGCTGCGGGCGCGGCGAGGGGCGACGGGCCGGGCCGGCACTCCGCCCGCCGCCTTCGCCGGCGCCTGCCCCGGCCGCGTCCCCTCGCCCAGGTCTCCCCCTGCCAACTTCTCGGCCGGCCCCCTTTGTTCCCGTTTGTTGTGGCGA